AAGCCAGACCATCTTTTCCTCCTGTTCGCTCTGAGTTGCCATCCCTCACCATCTGGCCTCCTCACTAGCTCAATCTGTTTCCATACTTAGCCACCCTACCTCCCTAGTTCTAGCAGTGATTTGCCTGCTTGTCTCCTGTCTGAGGGGAACCCCCTTCCCAGCTCCACCTAACAAGCTGCGTTCCCAGTTTCTGTATCCCGATGTCTCTTTTTCCAGAGCAAAATGCATCCTTTTTGCATTCAAGTTAGGTTAGGCAAGCTATTCCACTGTTCTGCTGCAAGGATGTATTTTTACTACATCTAATCCAAATCCCTCCTGTTGCAATTTAAGGTCATCATTCCTTGCTCTGGAAGTCACAGAACAATTTTTCACTCCCTCTCCATAGTGGCAAATACACCTATATATCTGTCTTAGCTAAATTACCTCACGTCTTTTCTTGTCTAGATGGAGTAAACAGAGTTGTTTAAACATGCTCTTATAGGACATTTTTGCTAGATTGTCTGCTCTCCCCTGTGAATGGGAAAACTTTGGGAATTTTTAGCTGTAAAGTTTTAGCAAGTCTCTGAGCATGCAGACTGCCAAATTGAGCCTAATTCAGAATGACGTTTTTCCTCAGATACATGTTTATTGATACCCCTCTAGAAGATGAACCAGAGAGCAGGCCAAGCATGTTCACACAGTCGGTGTCGGACACAACATTTTAATTCTTTTTAGAAGTTTCAGAGTGTATCACATGGGATAAAATTAATTCAAGAAGAAAGGAAGACCTCCCCCCGTCAAATGTACAAGTTCACAGATTTGAATATTTTCACAATTTCTTTATGTCAGATACATTGAATCAAGCCACTGAAGTACGAGAACAGGTAATATTTCCATACAGATGCAAATCTGCCTTGAGAAGTATAACTAAGTCTTTGCTAAACTGTGGAATACACAGTCACAAATACAAGGTCCTGTACCAGATGGTGAAGTTTCAGCCAACCCTGATGTTAGACTTTTCATCAGGAGAACTCTAGAATGAACTAGAGTTCTTCCCAATCACAGTAAAAAAGGATAAAATACACTTCAGTGTTTAGCCTGACACATTTTATTAAAAAATGGCAATTTGGTCACTTTACCTGCAGTGATACCAAATATTTTGATACAGAATATCAAAACAATGCAGTCCTGATATAATCAGCAATACATTCCCCTTGATGTCACAAGTTATACCCATAGTAAAAATCTGCACTTACTCCCAGACAGCATCTACCCCAAGTCCTCTAAGTAAGCAGCAACTTAGTATGGAAAGCATCCTGCAATGCCTGCATATGTGTTCCCATTGAACCTGGTCATTGGTATTAATAAACTTCACGCGAGTCCTCAGAGTTAAATGCTTGAAATGTTAAGACCAAAGTAAGACTAAATCAAAACCCCCCACTCTGGTCTAGATAGACAGGTGAAGTAGAAGATGATCTGTGTTTTGAAAGTATAACGAATACAGAGTTTTAGATATATACAGCATATTGTTGCAAAGTAACATTTCTTTGAATGGCAGTTTCTATTTTGAAGTTATTTAAATTAACACATGAACAGTGCATGTGTGTAAAGAGGTCCCTTAACACAGCAATAGGAAAGGGTTATGAGAGAAACACTCTGAATGTACAGTATTGGTATTCTACCCCGTCACTTTGTGGTGGTCTAGCCACATTTAAAATAAGCTTTAAATGTTTCCAGGAGCGCTATCAAAACTGGTAAACATCATGTGTATGCACGGAGGTAGCTTACCTCTGCTACTTGAAGAAGACGACCTTGATGATGAACGTGATGAGGAGGAAGAAGTGGATGTAGTGCTAGAAGACGATGTGGATGAAATGGATGATGATCTGCTTCTACTGCGTTTTCGTTTCCTTTTTTCTTTTCCTTAGGATAACATAAGGCAACAGTGACAAGCATGCTAACTATGGTCTACAAAAATGACTCCTCACAGAACTTAAACACAATGAATGCTTATTTTGAGGGGTCGGTTGTGGTTTTTCCCCCCGCTCTGCCAGTGTGCCATGGTCTGTTACCATTAGCAAGTAACAACACTCAATATCGGGGTCAAACATGGTACCTGACGTTAAGGATAACACACATAACACCAGAGCATGGAAACAGATGAGCAATGCCTACCTTGGACTTTCAGCCCTTCTTGTGAAGCTGCACACGGTGTCCTACTTTTTTCATCCTTCCCGTTATCCATATCTAGTGAGAGACAAAAGTATATTCAACAGCATCGTCTCCAAGACTTTGGGAGAAACAAAAAATAGCGGCGCAGAGACAGAGGAAAGCAGCGAGCGCTTCCAAGGGCAGCCCCACCGCTATCAGACTGCATCACGCTAGGGTGAAGTGCACGTTTAGGCTCTCATCCTCGTCCATCAGGAATCGGAGGCCAGAACCCTGTTCCCGTGTCATCTTCGACGAACGCGCCGTTAGTGCCGATGCAATTTCTTTGCCACAGCAGCTACACGTCAGGTTATGGGTGAATTACCGGCTCCCGCCTAGCGCGGCCCAGCAGGAACCCTCGGGGCTGCGCA